TTAGTATGGCCATGTGACACCATGTGACGGCCACAGTGTTTCCTGGGTAGCGGATGACCTTTCAGGTTTGGCTGATTGTCACATGAATGGGTCTCCTTGAAAGAGCAGAATGCAGGCTGGTGAGGCCACCTGCAGGATGAGTGGGCAGGTGAGGCCCAGGAAGGGCCACTCAGGGAGAGCAACACTCAGGTCAAAGACCAGTTGGCAGGAAGATATTGGGGTGGGTCCATGATGTTGGGGTGGGTCCCCAGGATCCCCACCGGCTGGGGGCAGGGCCACACTGACAGTATGAAACCACCCACAGTGGAGAAGCAAGGTGCTGTCTACCAACCCCAAGGGGACATCATCTATCAGCTCCTTGAGGAAGCCAGGAGAGAAGTATGTGACCATATACCTGGGCACCTGGAGCCCAGGCAAGTTGGCATTTAAAATAACACCCGCCCCTCATGTGTTGGCTCAGACAAGTTTGGAGCCTACACATGGGGTGCCTCCCCCCGCCACCCCTGCAGCACATCCCCCCATCTGACAAAGAGGAGGCGTAGTGCCTGATGAGCCCCACTCGGGGCAGAACTCCTTGGGCGTGTGCTCCAGGGGTGAGAACACCAAGGCCAGTTCTGGAGGGCAGCACTGCACTGTCATGGTTTGCAGGGGCAGGCTAGGGGATGCAGTGCAGAGCCAGGGTAGGGTATGGGGCCTTTCCTGGGCTTTGGGATTCGGGTTGCAGTGACTTGAGGCCGTGTTTATGTATTAAACATTAATAGAACGTCACTGGAGGTCTGCAAAGTGCATAGTTAGCAAGTAACTAGAAAACACTCATTAAAGAACAGCACCCTACCTCACGGTTGGTAGAATGGTAATGTCTACATCTGCACCTGGGGGGAAGCTGTGAGACCCCCACCCCGCTACGGGTAGCTCTGGTAGAGGGCAGCGCTATTGATTTTAAACATGCACACTTGACTGAGGCCGTCTCACCATCCAGTTTCCTCTCCATGCAGGAAAATGTGTGAACTAAGCTTTTCTTAGCCAAGTATCTGAGGTTCCTGCTGGAGACCTGGTCCACGGCATGCATGTGCGTTTTTGGTTGTGCTGCGCCCTGGCACTTGTTAGACTCTGTTTTTAAGAGTTGGTGGCAGGTGGAGACCTGGACGCCGACAGGGATCAGCTGCTGCACTGGGACTTGGTGCGCGACACCTGATGCCGCAGCTTCTGGTGGGAACAGAGAAGATCTTGGCTCGGGTCTGTCTGCTGTAGGATGCTGTTTGTCCTCTGGACACCCTGTTGCTAGTAAGAAGTTGCTGAATGCAAGGACTCCTGCTGCTGTTAACTTCTGCTCCTGGAGCCTGAAGGAGACGAATGTGTGTCACCATGTGCAGAGTCCGCTTGGTGCAGCCTACCACAGTGCAGCCGCTGGCTTCGGCCGTCACAGGCCCTGGGTGTCCTGGAGCAGAGTGCTGAGAAGCACACGGGGCGGGAAGGGGCGGGATAGCAGCCCAGCAGTGATGGAGGGCTGTGACCCATGCGGTCAGCAACCCCAGAGCTGGGTCCCGAGGAGCCATGCTGGAGTGGATGGGAGGTGGGCGCCGGTGGGAGGTGGGGGTGTGGGAGGGGGACACCTGAGAGGGGCAGAGCCTGGCGGGGGCGACCCTGGAGGGCATCCAGGCCCAGTGCCACCAAGGCTGCCCCCAAGACACAAGCCAGGCATGGTAGCATGTGCCTGAGAAAGGACTGCTCAAGCCTCAGAGTCAGATGCCAGCCTAGGTGGCATGGCGAGCCGCTGTCTCAGAAAAAGAGAGAGAGATGAGACATAGGCTAGTACAGACCTCAGGCTGAGTGGCATGGCCAGTGTCTGACGGAGAGGCAGACAAGTGACCAGGTAGGGGATGAGAGGGGACACCGCCTGGGACACACAGGTACGTTCAAGCCCCATGCTGTTCCTAGTGACACTGAGCAAAGAAAGCCAGCAGAGCAGCCACAAGGTGCATTTTCATACAACAGAAATGGGCGCTTAGGTGTTGAAAAGAACAGGACACACATCCCCCTCCATGTCCACAGCGGCCCTCCCTGCAGGCACCCCAGTAGAACCAACATGTTGGGTCTGGAGAGCCCAGTGCGTGCCCACCTGAGGCCGGCTGTGCTTTGCGGGTGCATCCTCCAGAGTCTTCCGGGCTTTGCACAGGGGTGGCTCGGTGGTGAGCGTTTGCCCAGCGTGTGCTGGCCCTGGGTTCCATCCCCAGCACTGCAGGGACATGGGGATCTCCAGGTTTCAGGTACTGTGAGCTCAGTGTGTGGTCCCCAGACCTCCTTATTCACTCAGTCAGCAGCCAGACACAGGGGCCCCAGGTGGGACAGCACTGCGCAGCCTGCCTTCCCCCTGTGAGCTGGTGACAGGGCTCCCACAGAAATGATGGGGCCCCCATCAGGGTGGAGGACAGGGATTCCGAGGTGGTGGGGTTGCGTGAGTGCCCTTCACATAGGAGGTGACATGTCAGCTGCATTGGGGGACTCTGGATGGTCCCCAGAGACACAGCGGTGAGTGGTGCCATTGGCAGGAGCATGACATCCTGGAGAGAGCAGGGACGGGGCCGCCATGGCCTCTGCCAGCCTCCCTCAGGGACACCAGGACACTTGTATCCAGTCCAGCTTCCTGGAGATGCTCAGGGAGGGCGCCTTCTCACCTACTGGGCAGAGGGATGCTTCCTGCCAGCCAAGGGGCCCAGCACAGTGGCCAGCCAGGTGGCCAGCTCTGCTGCACACATCACAGTCTGTGTGCGGCAGAGGCCCGAGGACAGGAGCGCAGGTCCGTTGGCCCTTCAGTCCATTCACATTGACTTGTCCTGCTCACATCCCCTGGCCACAGCTACAGGAAGGCAGGGCAGTGCAGACTTCGGCGGCAGCTCTGAGCCGTGCTAACGCGGGGTTATTCCTAAGAGGAAGAGGGGCAGAGTAGAAATCTGCAATCACGTGGTCTCTGCTACAGAAGTGCTCACATGGCCCCCTCCGGCTCTGACGGACGCTGGCTGCAGTGGACACGTGCAGGGCTTTCCTGGGAGCTGCTGCTGCTGGGGAGGGAGAGCAGCCCGGGGGCCTGAGGGGGACACCCACCTCCGTGGGGGGGTCCATACTCGGCCCGACCTCTTCTTTTCTTTTCTGAAGCTGGGGGTTGAACCCAAGACCTTTACACTGAGCTACATCCCCAGTTCTTTTTCATCTTTTGGGCAGGGTCTTCCTAAATTGCCCAAGGTAGGCTCAAATTTGGGATCCTCCTGCCTTGGCCTCGAAGAGTGCCAGGATTATAGTTGTGTCACCATGCCCTGCTCAACCAGTTTTCATTTCAGAAAGACCCCAGAAGCTCCCGGGCTGCACCTTCTGGTTAGGGCGTCTTGTTTCTCTGCACACATAGATACAGGCACATCACATGTGTCATGCACTCAGCACAAACGTGCTTTGCACAGGTACACACTAGCATACCACCGCCACACAAACATGCACGCACTTGCACACACGCGCACACACGCGCGCACACACACACACACACACACACACACACACACACGTGCGCATGCTGAGTCACCATCACTGTACAAGGTACAAGCTCTGCACCAAGGAGCCTGCCTCAGAATTTAGGGTTCCTGGCAAGTCTCTGATGAGGGAGGCTGAGGCACTGCAATCTTTAAAGGCCGGCCGTGTGGGGCCTGTGTGGCAAGAGACAGCTGCATGCAGGGTGGTGTTGTAAGAAACCGATGGTGCCGTGCGGGGCGTTGCCGTACAGGTTCGCGGCAGCCGGGGTGGAGGTTGGCGGGAACAGGAATGGTTGTTGCCACGTGTGGCTGCTTTCTGTTTTGCTTCTGGTGTTACGAACCGCACTCCACATCTGCTAGGGCAGCGTCAGTTATTTTCATAGCTGAGATTTAAAAGCACCTTACACGGATCTAGGCTCAGAATGGGGACCGGGTGCACAGGGCATAGAGGCCGCTGTGAGGACAGCCAGGGCAGGGCCACTGGATACATGGCCAGCAGTTCACAAGGGCCCCATTTGTGCACATTTCTCCAGAGCCCCTTCCAGGGGTCATCAGTACAGAACACGGTCCTGACCCAGGAGCGGCTCAGAGAGTGCCTTCCCTGAGCTTGGGGGACGAGGGGCACACGGGGGGACTGGGCGGTGGGAGGTACAGGGCTTGGGGTGGTAGGAAGGACACGGGGTCCTGACCTTGTCACCATGGTGAGGGAAACATCGGACTCTTAGCCCACGGCCATTCAGCACTGCAGCAGGCTGGTTAGGAAGCGAGGAGAGGGCCCAGCCGGTGGTGGGGAACGTGCTTCCTGCACACACCAGCCTGCTCCTTCCTGGGCATCCGTCCAGGCTGATGGCCTGCACTGCGAGCCCTCCCGTCCCCGCCTCAGATGGCAGAGGTTCCAGGGCTGCTGCCCGCCCGGCCCACGCCCCTGCAGTTACTCCCGGCGTGGGCTGGGACGGGACGTGTTGTAGCTCACAGCTGAAGGCGGGCGCTGAGCCTCAGCGGCCTCTCTCGCCACGTGTCTCTCCAGTGCCCGGGGTGAGTGTTGGTAGTGTGGCTTCACGAGGATATCCCACTTGGGTGGTTTATAATGTGAATTGGGAGAAGTGCTTTCACCTTACACCCAGATCTCATAAATTCCAATTCGTGGGACCACAGGGTAGGGGTGAGCCATGCTCCGCCACTTTCTCTCAGGCAGAGCCTATCGTGAAGTGTCATGCCCTTTTTCCAAAACATGCTTTTCTTTTCCTCCATAGAAAACTAGCTTTGCAGCAGGGCAGCATCCTCCTGGCAGGGAGTCTGTGCTGGCTCAGGAGTGACGCTGGATGGCGACTCAGGCTCCAGGGAGCTGGACCTGTGCTGGGCCTCTGTGGTCCTCAGTGGAGGAGGGCGTGGCCCACAGGCCTGACCCCGAGAGGAGCAGGATGTCATTAGTCTGGGAGGAGGGTGCTTGCAGGTTTAACAGCCTCCATACATTGATTTTAGATCATCAGAAAAGCCCTCACTGAGGAAAAACATGTCTCGACAAAGACGTCTGCAGCAGATCTTGTGACAGAGACAGACCGCCTCGTGGAAGATCTGATCGTTTCTGAGTTGCGAAAGCAGTTTCCCTCACACAGGTGAGCGTTACAGGCCCTGGAGGGGCAGATGGGAGCCCCGGCCCTTCTCGCAGGGCCACAGACCAGTACCTCACCTGCCTTCCCGTTGTCACGGCACTCCCTATCTGTGTGCAGAGGGGCTCCCTGCAGCCCCCGCTGATCCCCCTGTGTCTCCAGAAGGCTCTGGAAATGCACAGCCCGCCTCAGAAGCCTGGCAGTGGTCATAACAGGTGCCCAGGCGCCCAGGGAGTCCAGAGCAGAACAGCATACAGGGTGGACTGGCAGTTATGTGGGACCCAGGCCACCGCCAGTGTGAGGACACCTGTCCCCAGGGCCCTCAAAGGACACCGCTCTGTCCTTGAGAGCCGAAGCCCCTAGCTCTGCAAGGTCCCCAGCCTGTGGAGGGTTCAGTGCAAGCCATTCATCTCTTCCTCAGAAAAGTTAAAATATTTGCACAGCATTTTGCATCCATCTCCTGGGGAGACACATGCCATGGGTCGTCTTTGGCTCTGAGCGGCCGCAAGCCCACACCACCCCCTTGAGTTTAAACACAGCTTACAGACCAGTAATACCTTGGATGCAGAGGGCTCTTCTTCCTTAGGTGGCATCTTTTATTAAAAATACTGAGTTTCTAAAACTGGAGTACCAGCCACTAGATTTGTGGACATAAATTATTGCACCTGTCAAGTTCCAGTCCTCTTTTTGGTTCATTTTGTTTCTTGAGAGAGGGGTTTGCTGTATGTCCAGGCTGGCCTCAAACTTGCAGTCATCCTGCTCCGCCACCCGAGTGCTGGGATTACAGGTGTGCACCACTGTGCCTGGCTAGGTTCCAGTTCACACGGTCTCAAGGGGCAGAAGATACGGGACTGTCTCCCTCAGCCTGTGGTGGGCCCCGTCCAGTTTCCCTCTGGGTGGATACACAACCTTGTGTCCTTTTCTCTTGGGGTTTCCTGGGAACTGAATAGGCTATCTTGGCTACATGCCCTCCCTTAGAAGTTCTTTTCTGTTCTGTGGGCAACCTCTGTGTCTGCGCTCCTGTTGTTTCTTATTTCCTTACTTGGCTTGAAGTTGAGACCCCTGACGTATTATAATATTTGTAAGCTCTGAAATATTCATGCACTTTTAGCTTTCCAAGCCTAATTTTAATGAAATGGCAATGTCAAAGGAATGTATCATTTAGATTGCTTTCATTCTTTGAGAGAAGAAGCACCGTGCAGTGGTGGTGACCTATGGCACGCGTGCCACAGCAAGCTTTTTGTGTCATTAAAATCTCCCAAATCTTCACCATTACTGCACTGCCAGAACCAACCAGCACTCCCGGCACCTTACTAACTTCATGCATCTGGAGGTTTCTCTGCAGAACAAGTCCAGGCTGGCTCACCCAGGGCTGAGGAAGGCCTTGCGGTCCCTGTGAGACCAGGCACCGTGATGTGCCAGGCTTTGGCATCACTCAGGTCACTGGGGTGCTGAAACTGCACAGCTCATTCTTGTGTACAGCAGTGGGAGTGTGGCCCAGGAAGAGGCTCTGGGTGCAGAGAAGCAAAGAGCCCAGTGTGGGGCTGTGCCGGCCAAGAGCTCCTGGCTGACTGCAGTCTGGGGCTGGGGCTTCTTCACCTCTCTCGGGCTACAGCTCAGCCTGGCTTGGTCTGCTACCTTGTAGTGCCCGGCCTGCTGGTGTGAGGGTCCCTCCAGGGGCCGAGGGTGGCGCAGCAGGCAGAGGTGCCAGGCACGTGACACACGCATCTCGCCCAGGCACGCTGTCAGCTCTTCTGTCTGCACCACAACACCACGGGGCACAGCACACAGTACACAAAGCCATTCTGGCTGCTAAGGGCCAGAGGGTGTATGCGCTCCCCTGCAGACACTCAGGGTAATCGTTGGCAATGACTTCCCCCCAAGGAGGAGCCCAGGCCTGCTTTGGAGTGCAGGGACAGAGGCTGGAACGGGGCTGTGTCCCTGGCAGGAGTACCCAGGAGGGCACCTGGAAGGGGACTTCCGTGGTGACTCAGTAGGCACGGGTGGGGAATATCCTAAACTCCACCCTACTTTCTCCACAGGTAACCTGAGCCCAGGAAGGCAGAGGAGAGGATGTGGGGAGGCAGCTGGAGGGCCTGGAGCTGGGTGGCAGGGCCGTGATCACCTGTCCATGCAGGCTGCAGGCGACAGCTGGTCCTCTATATGTGGTTACTGCACTGCAGCAGGAGAGCTGTAGGCCAGCGTGCCTGCACCCCTCACACCTCCTGCTAAGGGGGGCAGTGAGCTTGTGCTCCAGGAGACCTGCCTCCAGCTCTGCACCCTCACATCTCCCCGCTGGCCTGCTGCAGGCCCCGGTTCTCCCAGAATGCCCATGCAGTGTCCCTCTGGTCGGCCTCCTTTGTGTCTGTCTGTCTGATGTGGGGATGGAGGAACCAGACCTTGCACGTGCTGTGCTGGGCCACACCCCACCCCGTCACTGCCTTCCTGAGTCTCGCTGAGGCCTGGCGGGCAGATTAAGACTCCACCTCACTTACACCAAGAGCTATCCTGAGATCTCTGTACTACACCTCCTCTTTCCTGACTGCAGCGGGGAGCAGTCTGAGGTTCATGGCCTCCAGTTCCTAGCCGCCTTCTCAGGCTGAGTCCCCACCGCAGGTTCATCGCAGAGGAGGCCACGGCCGCCGGGGCCAAGTGTGAGCTCACCTCCAGCCCGACCTGGATCATCGACCCCATCGACGGCACCTGCAACTTTGTGCACCGGTGAGCCAGACAGGCGCGCCCTCTGCCAGCCCTGTCCTCCGCTGTGCTCTGTCTTCAGTGGCGGGCTGAAGGGGGTGCTAAGCAAGCCTGGAGAGGAGATGTATAGCTCAGCGGAGGGCGGTCGTGGCCCAGCGTTTTGAGAGTTCCGCTGTGAGCGTTCCCAGAGCAGCACAGCGGTCCTGTTGCAAATATGTTTCAGGTGTTTGCTTGAACCTGAGAAGGGCCCTGTGAGAAGGGCCCCTTTGGAGTCGTGCCCACCAGCAGCCCGCCGAGTCTGTGAGGAGGGCAGGGCTTAGGGAGTGAGCTGCAGCCCTGGGGAGTGACAGATGCCACCGAGGACCCAGGACCCTCGGCTCCCCCACTGCCCACAGTGGAGTTGCTGCTGGCTAAGCCTGACCCATGGGAAAGGCCCCATGTCCACCCGAGGGCCTCCCCTGGACTCTGGTGGCCCCATGGCTGCTAGTGGCTCCCTCTACAGCTCTCAGGACAGAGAGGCTGCTGGGAAAGAGCACAGCTGGAAGCACACTTGGTGCAGTGTGGATCATAGTGTGCCGTCACCGTGGCCTCAGCTGCCACAGCTTGTTTGGAGCCATGCGGAGCACTGTGCCCGGGTGCTAGCCACAGTGGGCACTCGGGGGGAGGCAGAGCCGGCCTGGCCTGTCAGCACCCCACGCACCCGGGGCAGGGTCTTGTTCACATGTGTCTGCATTTGTGTCTTTGCCTGTGAGTTTGCAGTCCCTGACCCTTCCTCATTCCTTCTTGTTTTTATGCTCCAGTGCTCTTTGCATAAAAGAGGTTATTTTGAGCAGAAACAACAAAATTGCAAAAGAAAACCACAAGCACCCTGGCAAGAGCCGCCCTCCTCTGTGCCTTGCCTGCGCTGGGCTGCAGGGGCTCAGGCAGGGACAGGGACAGGTGTCACCTTGACGGAAGGTGCCAGTGCTCAGAACCGGGCTCCTGTGGGGACACCACGCCCAGGGCATCCACACCCCCAGCCTCCCGGAGCCCCTGCCACGCTCCCTGGTGCTGGGGTCGCTGCTGAAGCGTTCGACCTTCTCATGCGACTCTCAGGACCAGCTGTCTTGGAGGTTGACAACCTTACACCATGGTGGGGGAAGCAGCTAGTGAAGTCGGGGGAAGCTGTTTTTAAAAACAAACCCAGCAGAGTGTGGAAAGGACCTAGATGCCTGGGGCGTTAGGCATGTGGCCTAGAGAGCGGTGCCTGGCGTCACATGATTGTGTGTCCCCACAGGTTCCCCGATGTGGCCGTCAGCATCGGATTTGCTGTTCAGAGAGAGGTACGTGGTGGTCCTGCTCCAGCCTCTGCAATTCCCTCCTGCTTGCTCGTTGCTGTGTGCCTCGGCCGGGGGGAGGCTCAAGTGTGTGTCCTTCAGTTCACAATGTGTGGGGCTGTACGGGTCCCCTGGGGCAGCCCTGTCCCCAGGCGGACTTCAGGCTGCTGTGGAGACCACGTTCCAAGCAGTTGGCCACACCAGTGTCCCTCTGGCCCCTAGCGCCTGTGACCTTGTCACAGACAGAGAGGGGCTCCTATTTTTGGATAATGGCGCTCATCTCCACATTTTACTGGTTCTTTTTAATCCCCCTGGCTATCAGCATGAGAATGGGTCTCTTCCTGGGTTCCCAGGGACCTCGTGAGACCTGCAGGAGGGAGGCTGAGCCTGTGTCAACCCCTTCAGGCAGCCGCGCTCGCTCCTAAGGGCCTTGTTCCTCGCAGGCTCCACGGTTCTGTGGAGACGGGGCTGGGACCTGGAGTCTCTTGAAAGCAGCCCCTTGGGCAGCATTTGTTACCCTCGTCTTCAGTGTCACACAGATGCCCCAGCGGGGAGACTGAGAGGGCTGCACACCCAAGCGTCTCCTTTGGCTTAGTAAGAACTTCGCTAAGAAGTTGCCAGCTGGTTGATGTCTGTTCAGTGACGTCACGGAGGCCAGGGAGTGCAGGAAGCCTGACCGCACTGGGGGTGACACCAGGACCCCTGTGCCCAGCAGCGGGAGAGGCTGCAGGTGGGAAAGGCACGAGCAGGGACGGTGGCAGCCAGGTGCTCAGCCTGGCCAGCGTCCCCACTGCTGCACGGCAGCCCCCACCAGAGAGGCTCGCCCTGCCCTCCCTCACTTGCTCGTAGGTCCCAGTGACAGGGTTCATGTGACCACTCAAGCAGGCATTGGTCAGGCAGGGAGCTGCAGGTGCCTGAGCGACCCTTTGCTGCGGGCTGGGGACCACCCCAACTGAGCAGGCTGTGGGAGGTCCCCAGAGTGGGAAGGAACCGACGCGCGGCAGCCCTTGTGGTTTTCACACACTCCCCTTCCTTTGCCACTTCCTCCTGCAGACTTTCTGTGACCCTGCTCCTGGGGTGAGCTGCTGTGCATGTCGCCGCTGGGGCCCGTTCCCCTCTCGCCCACCGGGCAGAGGGGTGCTTCCTGCCAACCAAGGGGCCAGCACAGTGGCCAGCCAGGGTGGCCAGCTCCGCTGCACACACGTCACACGTCAGGGCCTCTGGGCTGACCCTGCCATGGGCCCCGAGGGCTCCTCAGGGCTTTGCTTAGACTCATGGGTCCCCTCTCCCCCTATAAAGGAGGAGGCTTTCCTAAGAGCCAAGTTTTTCTGTACGTTTGGTTATTAACACTTATGATAATCTCGGTATACCTTTATTTGCCTTCGTGTGTTTTAAAGTATAGTTACTTAAGAAAAGAACACTGCTTTCCTGCCAGGCTTACTTGAGAATCTGTGTTCCACCCTGTCTCAGAGGGGTCAGTTCTGTCCCCTGCTCTGAGCAGCCCTAGCACTGTCACCGTAACCGCCCACGTGGGACCGTGACCACCTTGTTTCCTTCCGCCTGCAGCTGGAGTTTGGCGTGGTTCACCACTGCATGGAGGAGCGGCTGTACACCGCCCGTCGGGGCCGCGGTGCCTTCTGCAACGGCCAGCGGCTGTGCGTCTCGGGGGAGACAGGTGGGCCCCCAGGGAGATGGGGCTGCGGGTCTGGGAGCAGCAGGGGCGCCCACCGTGAGGGTGGGAGTCTCCCTCTGAGTGCCCTCTCTGCTCAGGGACACCGTGTCCCTAGTGGAACAAGAACCCGGGTCTGCTCTGTCCATCTGTGTGGCTGATGGGACCAGGAACTCAGAGATCTTGAGTCTTCTCCTCTTTGCACTCACATCTGTCATCACTAAGGCTGGGGGCCCAGTCCCAGGGCGACTTGGTCTCCATCGGGACCAGGGACATGCTGCAGTTTCAGCCCTTCCAGATGCTGACATGCTTCCCCACAGGAGTCTAAACAGAACTTTCCCCAAGAATGACTTGTGTTTTTCAACTTTTGTAGGTCAAAGTCAAAAATAGCCATGTTAAGATGAACAGTGAGTGACATTTAGTACATCCACAAGCCGTGCACCACATGCTCTAGCAAGTTTTAGAACCTTCCCCGCTCCACAGAGAGAGCAGCCCTGTGTCTGTGAAGTAGTTCCCCTGAAGTCTCTGTTCTATGCAGAACTTAGGCTTTTTAGGTAAAGGAAGTGATTGTATTTTCATGTGAGTAGATCACGATGGTCTCTGGGAAGTCTCAGACATTGGGGTGCATTTGTAACAAGACCCTGGTGGCAGTGTGGTCCCCGGAGCACACAACCAACAGAGCCGGGCTGGGCTGGGGCACCCTTGAAGGGGCACTGGGACCCCAGGAGTGAGCATCTCCTACCACAGCCAACAGGGCCACGCAACCAGGGCCTGACGCCTCGGATGCTGTGGGCCAGACACTTTCCTTGGTGAGTTGCTTGTTAGGGGCATTGTCCCAGTGACGACACCCATCTTGTTTTCAAGTGAGAAGTTTCCAGGACAACAATAACGGTACCACTTAGTACTGTTACTTGGTAGCTTAGTACTGCCTAGTACTACTCCCCCAGAATAAGGGTTTTCAAGTGGTCAGAAATCAGACCCGTTTTTCCATTTGCCCTAGAGTCTGCTATATTGAGAAAACACACAGAACTGTTCTGCTTGAAAACCCGTCAGGTTTTTGTTACTGTGGTGGAAAATGTGCATGAAATTCAGCACTTCAGTCATTCTTCAATGTGCTGTCTGATGGCGTTCATCACATCCACTGTGTCATATAACCCTACAGTGGTAGATTTCTGAAATCTTTGGCACCTCAAGCAGGGACTCCATTCCTACCACCCCACCTCCCAAGAAATCACAGAATAGTTTAAATTAAATATGCCTGTATATTAGTATCTGGCTAGGAGCTAAAATATTATGGCAAATATAAGACAGAAATACAATACAAAAATCGCAAAACTTGTGGATAACTGAACTAGCCACCATGTAAAATGATATTAAGTAGCAGGGATTGTGATGAGTTAGCTTTGTCCCCTCTTTATCCGAGGCAAATAACTTAGAAGGCACTTTGCCTATAGGCGTAAGGCCCAGGCACCAACGGCAGAGCTGGTGCTCCACGCCAGTGACCTCAGGGTGACTGAACAACCTCCGCAGCTCTGTAAGGGCTGGGGTGAGCTCGGTGCTAGTGTACTTGCCTGGTATGCTTGAGGCCCTGGATCCATCCCAGCACTGGGGAAAAAGACTTTAAAAAGATATAGAGTGCTTTGTTGGCTGTGTGTGAGGGGGAAGGTGGATGTGTAAATGGGGGGAGGGCAGGGCAGACAGCCCCACTGCTTCCGGCTTCCCTGAGGCCACCCTCACCATCCATCCTGCCGTGGGACAGGCAGCCACCGAGCCCTGCCTCTCTCTTTTCTGGTGCTGGGGTGTGTAAGAGCAGGCTTGTTTCCCAGCACAGTTGAGCTAGGGTGGAGTGTCCACGAGGCTCTGTCCCCATGCACAGGCCCTCATCAGTGTCCCTTCCAGCCTGAGTCCATGCCGACCCTGCTGTTGCTGGAGCCCAGTGTCCAGGAGGCTGATCTTCCTGCGGTGCTTTCTGTGGTGCGGTCCCATCGTGCCGTGTGCCTGGCAGGCATGACTCAAGCCCGAGGCGGGCAGCCCTGGTGGCAGCCAGGTGTTTTGTTTTGTGGTGGGTTTTTTTGTTTTTTGTTTTTTGTTTTTTTGTCTTTTTGAGACAGGGTCTCACTATGCAGTTCAGGCTGGCTTTGAGCTCACTTTGTAGCCCAGGCTGGTCTCAAACTCGCGATGATCCTCCTGCCTCAGCCTCCCAAGTGCTAGGATTACAGGCGTGCGCCACCGTGCCTGGCAGAGCCAGGTGTTTTGGAAGCATTTAGTTAGAGCTGAGAGTTTTGGAGCACAGATCTGAAAATACCGAGCCTGGCTGTGGAAGAGGGGCGATGCCCTCTGCTCTCCGGCAGAACAGGGCAGGTCTGCGGTGCAGGGCATAGGTGCAGCACAGAGCAGACTGCGTCTGACCCCCACAGTCCCAGCACCTCACTCCGCCCTGGCAGCATCTCCCACTGTCTCCTGTCACCAGGGGCAGCTTCTGGGGACACTGCGTCCTGCAAGCACCCGAGCCCTTCCCAGAGGTGACCTTGCTTCTCAGTCACCGGTCCAGGGGGCTCCCATCTTTGTGACCCCAGCGGGTGAAGGAAGTCTGCATTAAAACCGTTCCAAAAATGTCTTAGATGAGGCTTTTTCCTCTCCAGACCCCTGTCTCCTCCGTGTGTCTGTGTCTGTGTGTTTCTGGTGCTGGGAATGAATGCAGGGAGCTCACACTGAGCTACATCTGCTCAGCCCTATCTTCCTCTTCTTCTGAAGACAGGGTTCTCTAAATTGCCTGGCTGGGCTCCGACTTTGCATCCCATGCCTCGGCATCCTGCGTGGCCAGAGTACAGGTGTGCGCCACCATACCTGGCATTGCTTGTTCCCACGTGTGACATGGTGGTGGTTTTCAGGAGCCACCAGACTCTCGGGCTGTGCCCCCGGGAGACCTGGAGCTCGGAGCAGCAGTGGTGTGGCTCCTGCAGGCGGGCTCCAGTGCTGCAGAGCTGCGCACCGCCTGACTCTGCTCCCCTGGGAACTCTGTCCTGCAGATCTCTCCAAGGCCCTGATTCTGACGGAAATCGGCGCCAAGCGCGACCCCGCCACGCTGAGGCTGTTCCTGGGCAACATGGAGCAGCTGCTGCTCGCCAAGGCGCACGGGTATGGACTCAGGCTCGGGGGCTGGGCCAGGCCTGAGGCACGGGCTCTGGGCTCTGCAGGGCCACAGCCAGAGGGAGGGAGCCCGGCAGACACAGGCACAGCCCCGGGCTCAGGAGCAGTAGTCTTGCGCCCCTCCTGCTGCACACGAGGCCAGGCGGCGCCCTGCAGCCCTGACCAGCGTCCTCGTCTCCCGCACGGGGCTCTGCACAGACTACGGCTCCAGTTTCTTCTTCCCCGATGCTCATGAGCACAAGGGGACCGCGTATCCACACACACACACACGTACACATACACATACATGTACACACATGTACATACATACATGCATGTGGACATACATGTACACCCACATGCACACGTGGTCTGTGCGTCACCACATGAGACTCTCCCCTGCCTGTCGCATCCAGCTGCGACCCTGCTGAGCCGCTGTGGGCGGGGGCTCTGCACAGGGCTCTGGGCCAGACCCTGCCCTCTACCCCCGAGGACCCAGGGCAGCGCACCCCGCGCCGCCCGCCACCTCCGCTTTCCCTCTCCCAGGGTCCGAGTTATCGGCAGCTCCACCTTGGCACTCTGCCACCTGGCCGCGGGGGCTGCCGACGCCTATTACCAGTTCGGCCTGCACTGCTGGGACCTGGCGGCCGCCACGGTCATCATCAGAGAAGCAGGCGGCATCGTGATGGACACCACAGGTAAGCCCCACGTCCTCCCCCGCCACATGGGGCCCACCGCAGAGCGGGGAGCAGGCGACAGCACTGGGAAGGGCTCTCCCGTGGGGGGCCCCAGCCCAGCCCAGACCCCAGGACGAGGAGCAGCACCCCACAGTCACACCTGCCTGCCCTGCTCCCAGGGGCACCAGGGCCCCGTGTGGCCCCAGTGAGGTGGGCAGCGTGTGCGGCATGTCCCGCCAGCTGGTGGTTCTTGGTTTTGTGGTACTGGAGATTAAAGCCAGGGACTTCACACTGAACTACGTTCCCATCCTTTTTAAAATTCTGTTTCGAAACAGCATCTTGCTACGTTGTCCAGGCTGGGCTTGAACTTGCAATCATCCTGCCTCCGCCTCCCAGAGTGCTGGGATTAGGGGCATGGAGCCCCACGCCTGGCTTCCCACCAAGCTGTGAGGTTAGGTACTTCCCTAGGACCCGTAAGCCAGACCAGGGTCAGCACCAGTAGCGTCATGGGTGTCCTGCTGGGCTTTAGGGCAGTGGATCCGGAAGATGCCCTATTCCTCCTGTCTGGGAACTTCGGATCCTGGGGCACCTGTGCTCCCTGCTAGCTGTCACCTAAGGTCCGGGAGTGACAGAGACCGCCAGGCCCCGTGGGATCCAGCCTCTGCTGGGTCTTGTGGCACGTGGTGCATCTGTAGTCCAAGTCCTCCGTCCTCCTGCTGCTCCCAGCTGAGTCCCCAGCAGCCCAGGAGGGGAGCGTGTGGCCGGGCCAAGGGACAGGCCAGCTTCCCACTAGAGGCAAGCGCTGTGAGGCTCCGAGTGTGCCCGCCGTCCGTCCTGCTCCAGACACCCCCACGCCCCCCAGAGTGACCGAGGAGGACAGCCGGGGCACGGTGGAGTGAGGCGTGGCCCGCTGGCCCGTCCCTGTCCCTGGACCTGATTTCTGTCAGAGCCGTGGGCTCGGTTCCCTCCGGGCAGTGGAGAGGCTCATCCCTCCCAGCACACCTCACTCTGCACCCCTGAGGTTCCGGGACTCAGCACGCCCAAGCTGCTCCCCTCCTCTGGGCTGCGGGAAGCTGCCACCCAGTAACTGGCCTGTCTCTGCCCCCAGGTGGACCCCTTGACCTCATGTCACGCAGAGTGGTTGCCGCGGGCACCCGGAAGATGGCCACTCTCATCGCCCAGGCCTTACAGCCGATCAGCTACGGGCGGGATGACTAGGTGTGGGGGTGGCATGAGGACCAGCCCACGCTGCACACCCGGCCGGCACTGACACGCACACCCTCCCCAGGGCTGGGTGTCCTGCTGGTCTCTCTGATGCCCCGAGAAGTCTCAGGTTCCTAGCATCCTCCAGGGCCAGCCCTGGCCTGTGGGAGATGCACACTGCTCACCCAGACTCAGGAAGCACCTAGAACTCGGGGACACAGCGTCCTCAGGCCCCCGTCCCACACCTGGCGCTGGGCCATGCAATAAATCGGCCCTGGCTTCCCACGCATCTCTCCCCGCGTCACCGCTCCCCAAGCACCCCTGGGCCCTGCTGCAGACTGCAGGGAGGGTCGCAGGCTCACACCCGTAGCTGGCTGCAGGTCTGCATGCAGGACCGGCACCCCAGCTCAGTAATCACCATGTTGGGCTGCGGGCTCCAGAGACCGCAGGCTGCTCAAAGCCACACCTCAGAAGAGCTGAGCGGTACAGGGTCAGAGACGGCAAGGTAATTTCAGGGCCACGCTGTGTCTAGAACTCCCTGTGTGGACAGTGAGCCTGCGAGCCCACAGCCCAGGCGCCTCTGCTGATGTGAACGCTGAGAAAGTCGGCGTCCGGCGGAGAAATCCACAGCTGCTGTCGGCTTCCTCCCCGCCTCCCTCCCGCCTTCAGCACACACAGCGCTGGGGGCTCCCAGCTTCGCCGTCACTGCCGCCCAGCCTGCCCTCGGAGGTGGCTCCTGTCACCGACCTCGGTCACCCTCCCTGCCAAACCCTGGTACTCAGCAGGCCCCAGCGGGCCATGAGGACTCCACCCCAGACACAGAGGCCCCAGGGGACCCCTCATGGGAGCAACCATTGCACATGGATGTGGACAGGATAAACCCGAGGCCTGTTCCACCTGCCTTGGGTACTTTGGGATGCATTCGCTGTCTCGAGAGGGAATTTCCATTTCCGGGTGATGGGGTGACTGGGTTCAGCAGCCCGTGTTTCAGGATGTGAGTCGCAGTTGGGGTGAGCAGCCTTGGCCCAGTGCCTGCTTCCCACCCTCTGACCTCGGGTGCACAGCAGCCTCCCCACAGGCAGCTCAGGGTCAGGGCCCTTACGGGTTCACACAGAGCTGGTGACACCCGCACGCCGTCACCATATCCAGCACGTCTTGGGGTCCCTGTGAGGGGAGTGCCAGGGCCACTGAGCACCCAGCACCAGGAAGCCCTGGACTGCCTCCTGGTGAGTGAGACAGAGCCCATGGCATAGGCTTCCTTCTTCCCCGAGTCCTGTTTGAGCTAAAGCAGCAACGGCAAAGGAACCTGTGCTTCCGTCACCTCATGGCCGGGTGACCCTGCTCATCCAGCAGCCTGCACCGCAGGAGGAATGGCTTGCAGAGGATGCCAGCGTCCCACCGCACATCCCCCTCATGCTCTGAGCTGGAGGCCTGCTTACCCCGCACCTGCCTTGCTCTTGGGAGCAGTGTCCCAGTGACAACCTCTCGGCCTCTATAGCCACAAGTGGAGATGTCACCTGTATGCTCGGATCCAGAGCACAGAGATCCCAGGGCACCTATAGCTGAAATTCACCTAGCAGTGACCACAGGACTGGAGTACACGTGTGTGGCACATGACGGCCACATACAGGGTAACTGGGGACATCAGAACGCGTGAGAGCCCAGCCAGCATCTCCCGACTGACACGGACCTGAACGCGGGTTGCAGCTGTGTGATCCGTGAAGAGTCACCAGCCGAGGGAGCAAGGGTGGCTCCCGTGGGACAAGCGGGCAGCGGGGCTCAGGTGAGCCAGGGTGACCCGGGGACACTGACGTTCACAATCGAAGGGACAGACGTGGCCCGCAGAGGTGGATTCTCAGTCGGCCCCGGCACTCTCCCGGGCTCCTGTGAGGAGGCTGTGAGTGCTTTCTGACTTGCGCCCTCACTGGTGACGGGCTGGAGCCGGGCAGGCGTGGCACTTTGTAACTGAGACGATGTGAGGGAGCACAGCCACCTGTCCCTTCGCCGGGAACCGGGGAGAAGATGCGCCTCAGCAGGCTCCCCGCAGCAGAGGCCCAGGCTGGCACAGGCACTGGCTCTGCCCACGGTCAGGCCTGGGCCTGAATTCCGCCTGGACCCGGCCGGAGGCATGGGAGGGCAGGGGCTGGTGAGAGGCAGCAGGCCCCGGCCCTGCTCGGCTTTCTGTGCCTGTGGCCTCGGGCAGGGCCCCCATGCCCAGTGGACAGTGCTGAAGGACATGCCGAGAGCTGAAACAGAACTCCTGGCTCTCAGCCTCGCGGTCTGCACAGGGCCGGAGGAGCCTGCTGCGGCAGTGACGCACCCAGGGACGACCACCGTGGTGGAGGAGGAGCCTGTGGCGAAACCCACGCGCACCGGAAGGAAAGGGAACCCGAAGAGCGACCCCATGCTGTCGCGAGGAAGCAGTCTGTCTGCCCGTGTCGCCTCGCAGCGCTCGTGAGCAGTAATAAAAACGCTGGCCTGGATGTGAGAATCGTCATTTGCGTGCGACCATGAAGCCTGGCTCTGCAGCGAGCAGACACTGTCAAGCCTTGGGACTTCAGGGCTCGGGCGCAGGGTGTGGGCAGCCAGTCACCCGGGGCCGTTCCCAGCCGCCTCCGGTCCTCTTCCCAGGACCTGGGCCCGTGCCAAGCTCTGCACACCTCCACCTTCAATCACAGTGAGCGCTGGGTTTCCGCGTGCGTCCTGCAGTGCTGTCCTGAGGGAAGGCGCCTGCCTGCGTCTGACCGCCGGAGGAGAGCCCCTGCCCGGTGCCAAGGTGCGCCCTGGTCTTTCCAAGCTGCTGAATAGTTCCAAACACAGGTCCGGCCAGCTGGAGGAGACTCAGTGTGAGGGGGTTGTTTTGTTTTGTATGCAGCCCTCGGAGTTGAGTCCAGGACCTTTGCACTGAGCTACATCCTCAGCCCTTTATAAATCTTTATTCCAAGACAGAGTCTTTCTGAGTTACTAAGTTGCCCGAGGTAGGGCTCGAATTTAAAATCCTCCTGCCTCAGCCTCCCAGAGTCCTGGGATTACAGACCAGGGTCACCACACCCAGCAACAGAGCAGCCCTTTAAACAACTAAACGAAGAACTGACCTCAGTGGCCTAAGAGCTCAGAAATATGCAGTTCTAGGCCATTTGAACCAGGCCTAGACCCACCGGGCAGGAGGACTTTGGGGACAGCAGAGGGCGCCACTCCACAGCCAGTGACCTGCTCAGACGACCCCGGGCACCTGTGGTCACCCTGGCCTTGGAGGAGCAGGGGACAGCGCTGCCGTGGGTGCTGCCTCACATCCAGCTTTGGCTGGTAGGTGACTCTCTCCAACCAAGGAAGGCTCCAGGCCACCAATGCCTGCACCCAGGGCTGCGGGCCAGTGCCAGGCGTCCATAGACTGCATCCAGCAGTGTGCAGAGGAGGACGTGGTGTGGGGACAGAGGAGGTGACAGCGAGTGACTCCAGGAACTGCACCCCGTCAGGAGCAGGGCAGGAACAGGAGCTTCGTGTAGGATGTGCAGCCAGGGCAGGCGGGGCTTCTGCCTGTGGCTGGTCACAGCGGTCTCAGCACATGCGTGCTACATGCAGAGGTCTGGTGTCCAGCCAGCTCGGGCCAGGGCAAGGTGGCAGGGGACAGCAGGAGGCATGGGGGCAGTGTCGGGGCCCAGCAGGAAGCCCAGAGCAGGTAGTCAGACACAGAGGGAACAGCCCACACTTGGTACTGAGCACGCAGTGTCCCTGGGCTCTGGGCTCTGGGCCTCCACAGAAGAAGGGCCGTGCTCAAAGCCATGGCATGCCCCCCTGCAGAGTGGCCTGTCGATGTGTAGAGAACTCAGGGTATGATACCAGGGTAAGAGGTAGGTCCCGGGGTCTCCAGGTCGAGCCCCCACCTGGGCCTGGCTGGCTGCAGGGTGCAGGGTGTCACTTGATATTAGGGAATCAGGGCTATCATTCTAGAGACCCTGAGCGGTTCAGAGTGTGTACTGCCACCCTGCCACTCACGGGCCCCACCCCATCCTGGGTCGCCAGGCGCCACCGCCTTCCCATCTCCTGTCTGGGCATCAGCACCCAGCTGCAGCTGGCCCTGGTTTCCAAGTCAGGAAGTGTCAGGTTCCAAGTCAGAGCTTGGCATCACCAAGCCGGCTGAGGGCCCACCCTTGACAAGAGGAGGCCCTCACCTTTCCCCGCTGGGCAGAGGCCAGGCTGATCCCATCCAGGTACTCAAAGCTGAGTCACACATGCAGTTTGCATTTGGGGGCTTTGTTTTTTTATTCCAGTTTTCAACAAGAATCGAGTTAAAGCCCTTAACACCTATTGCTATTAAGATATCTCCAGGCCAGGCGTGGTGGCACAGACCTGTAATCCCAGCTCCTTGGCAGGCTGGGGCAGGAGGATCACAAGTTCAAGCCCAGCCTGGACAACTTTGACCTGTTTCAAAATCAAAAATAAAGTAAAAAAGGGTGGGTGTGGTTCAGAGGTGGGAGCACTTGCCTGGCAAGTGTGAGGCCCTGGTTCAACCCCCAGCATGGCTACAAAAGAAAAACGGTGTCCCCAGCCTCACCCCTGTGGAATGGGGGCTTTGCGCCTCTCACTGTCCTCAGGTTTTAATAAAGCCACACACAGCAAACGCTGAGCTCAGGGCAGGACCGAGAGCCTCCTTCCTGTCTCCAGCAGCAGACACAGATGCTGGTCCAGCTGCGCCCCGCACCCCCAGGGTATGGTAGACTGGCAAGGTAGACGCATGCTTGTGGGAGACCTACTAAGTGGAGTCCGAGGCTCAGCGCAGCCCCTCAGCGCCCTCTCATTCAGTTCACATGGCACTAGGGCTCTCAGCTGACACAGGTCAAGTGTCCAAAGCTCATGTCCCTTCCCCAAACCAACCTCAGTGTCCCCAGGAGGAAGCGCACCACTCTAGAGGAGGAGACCCTGGTGATGTGGGACCTCCAAACGACATGGGGAAAATACAACTCCCAACCGCTGGACATTAGATATGCCGAGTTCATGTTCCCCAGAATAGAAGGATGAATTCTGAGGAACAACATAGGCTAAGAATGGGAAATTTCACTGAGGGAGACAGCAGGGCCCCAGGTGGGTTGCCATGGACCCCATTTTCCAGAGGAAGTTTTATAGAGCAAAATCATGAGGTGGGTACGACGCAAGACAGAACTCTGATCACCTAGTAAGATTATGGGCATAGCTGCTTAGGTTGATCTAGTGAGGAAGGAGGTCCCATAGCAAGTCTACATGGAAAGAACAGGACCTTTTCAGGAAGAGGTGAATCAGGAGGTCCTGGTCACCCTCCCCAATGACCGATGTCTATCTAGACTTTATTGGACCAAGTGATACCAGTTATAGTATAATCTTCAATTTATTGCTCAGGGAGGCATGCAGGCCTGGTCATTCCATCTTTATCCTGAGGCCTGGCCTTTGACAGATGTGCCTCTAGCCACAGCTGTGAGGTGTTCTCATCCTGGAGGGCTTAGCCTGCCTGACTGCCTAGAGTATCTCTGCCTAACTCAGCCATCACCATGCTGGGACAGGTGCTCCTAAGGGCCTGAGAGCAGCTGGCCCCACTGGCTGCACCACCTGAGCCCTGGGCCGGAGCTCAGGACCTCTGGGCTGAGGGAGGACACAGCCCACCACTGTCCCCAGCATCGCCCCTCGCTGGACTTGGTCCTGGGACCTGTTCTGTCCTCCCCTCTGGAACCTCGGCCACCAGGTGATGGGACAGTGAGTGTCTCTGGGGCCAGGCCCTGCCTCGGTTGTTCTCCAAGGCAGAGGCTCTGTGTCACCTGCACCCTGAAAATTAAACAGAAAGAAAGGTTATGGGGCTGGGGATTTAGCTCAGCGGCACAGCACCTGCCTGGCAAGCACAAGGTCATGAGTTCGATTCCCAGTACCAGGAAAAAAAGAAAAGTTAGCAGGAGGGATCACCTGCAACTTCAATACCCATGTGCACAGGAGTCATGGAAGGACAGCACTGAGGGAGCACTTGTGCAGCCCCCCGAGTGTGGCTGCAGGAAGATAAACCCCGCATGCAGCAGGAAGGAGCCATCCTGGGCCATCCCCTCCTGCTGGGAGGCTCCTACTCCTGGGAGGGGTGGCAGGTGCATGACCTCCCACTCTGGGACAGGGCACGGGGCATGGGGCATGCACAGTGAGGTCACAGCCGCAGCAGCTGGACAGCCATGAGCCCTGGGCCAGACCCACAGCCTCATCCACTACAGAGCACTGAAGAAAGCACAGGCTGGGCCAGGCACAGTGGCACACATCTGTAATCCTGGAGCTCTAGGAGGCTGAGGCAGGAGGATCATAGGTTCAAACCTAGACTGGGCAACTTAGTGACTTAGTGAGACCCAGTCTCAAAAAAGAGCTGGGGTTGTGGCCCTGGGCTCAATTCCCCATATGGGAAAAAAAAAAAAAAAGCACAAGCTGTCACCCCCACAGAAGGCTTTATAAACCTGTCGCCCACACACGCATCACCAGTCCACCACTGTGGCTGTGGATGCAGAGTCTGCACCAAGCCCACAGTCGCTGGCGTGGTCCACGCAGCAGAGAAGCTGGAATCCGCTGTGAAGGTGCCTGGCTGTCAGTGGAGGGGACTGGAGCCCCCTGCTGGCCACCGCAGGCACACGCCCAGCGCAACCCTCCTCTCAGGCTCAGATTCCTCCCACCCGGACCCCCAGGGGCCCAGGCCCTGTGCTGTACGGGATGAAGGCCAGGGCTTCCACACCAAGCCACATCTCAGTCCTTTGTGGGAGGGGCAGGGGCTCACTAAGTTGCCCAGGCTGGGCTTGAACTTGTGATTTCCTGCCTCAGCCTCCCAGAGTGTGGGGTACAGGTGTGCAGCCCGATGCCTGGCTCAGCGCAGGCGCAGATGGACCCGCGCGTTCTGTGGGTGAGTCACGTGTCCCCGCCGCAGAGCGGCCACTGCGCACACACGACAGCGTGCGTCTGTCTGCCCTGAGTGGCCAGCAGGGCTGCTTCTGTCTGGAGCTCCGTGGATGACTGGTGTGAACCCCTGTCCAAGCCCTGCTGTGAATAAAAGCTTCATGTCCTCTTGGATAAATACCTGCAAGTACTGGAGTTTGGGGTATCAGGGAGATGTGCATTTAATTAACTCTATCAAACACTGCCGACAGTTTGCCATTTTATGCCCCACCAGTCTTCAAAAAAGCAAGTGTAAGGCCAGGAGTATGGCTCAGCAGCACAGCACCTGCCTGGCAAGTGCAAGTCCTGAGTTTGATTCCTGGTTCAGGAAAGAAGAAAAAAAAAGTAAATGTAGTTTATGTAAAATTCGCCTTTTGAATACACATTTGTGCACATTTTGACAGCATACAGCATACAGTCGTGTAACTACTACCCCAGTGCACCATCACCCCACTCCCCTGCCCCGGGGTGGCCGCCCCGCAGCCCCTGGTCCCGAGCTGAGCAGCACATTCGCCTCCGGCCGGCCCCGCGTGAGGGAGCTACTGCGCTTTCCTAGTCC